GTTCCAAAGTGATTTGGCAAGTAATGCTGAATTCCATCTTTTCATATCTCTAAAACCAAGGCCACATTCATCTTTCGGTAGGTAAACATCCTTCTAAGTTACCAATGGCCTCTTAGATCACTAAAGGAAATTACGGCATAAACTAATGATTCTTGAAATGATAGTTGCCAGGATAGGAAAAATAGAAAGCCAAAAACATTCAACTCCTTGGAGCATCGCCCTTAATAATTCCGCCATTCCCACATAAGACAAAGAAGAGCAAGTCCAAGCACCAATATAAGCTGCAATTTTGTCTAAAAATGGGGCACAACAACTAACTTTAAGCTTCCCGGATGCTAGTGGAATACCCAATTACCGGAATGGCATAGTACCTTCGGGATATTAGTGAGTTCTTGGATTTCATCAAGTTCTTGCCCATGAATTCCACTGTAAATAAGCTAGATTTTAAGGTGTTCATCCTCGAACCCGATGTATTTCCGAAGTTGGATAGGCAATCCATTAAGATTTGTACAGACATAACATCTCCTATCGCAAAGAGCATCAAATCATCAGCGAATGCTAAATGAGTAATCTTTAAGTGGCCACATTTTGGATGATAAGTGAATTCACTCATCTTAGGACACCTTAATCAGTCTTGAAAAATATTTAAGACATCAAACAAGCAAGAAGGGTAAAAGCGGGTCACCTTGTCGGAGTTCTTTCTTTCCCTTAAAGAACCCATGTATGCTCCCATTCAAAGCAACATAGTATATTGTTGTAGTAATACGTTCCATAACCCATTGGACAAATCTTGTAGAAAAACACAACCCTTCAAGTACCTCTTTAAGGAAATCCCAACTAACCGAGTCATAACCTTACTTAGATCAATTTTTAGAAGACATCTAGGAGCAACTATCTTTCTGTTATATTGTCTCATAAGTTATTGGGCAAGATGGATGTTCTCTGTCATACTCCTACCTTCAACAAAAGTGGCTTGCACTTGATCAACAATACTCCCCAAAATAGGCCTCACTCTAGAAGCAATGATCTTAGTAATCACCTTGTAGAATACGTTGCAACAAGAGATAGGCCTATAATCCTCGACATTCGGTGTATGAAAAGACTTCGGCACGAAAGCCACTTTCAATGTCAAACCCAGATGGTTGCAGGTGAAGATGCCAAAAATGATGACGCTAGAGGAAAAGATGCCCCTCAATATAGACGCCACATGAGAATGAGTGGTCGAGTTATCACCGGAGAAATGAACAACATAACTACAAACATGTGAACAATGATGGAGCAACATGTCGAGCAATAAACTTTTTATATTTACCCCAGATGGGTAATAAAAACTTGTGAAATCTGATGACCCTCCAAGGGATATTGAATAGATTAGTTACAATTTCTATCAAAAAAATATCGAGTGGTTTGATTACTAATTTTGTACCTCAAAATGTGAGAAAACTAAATATTATGTTAGCCTAACCTCTCGGATTGTGAGACATATTTTATTTTTCTCTTCCACCTTTTGAATTGTACACAGTCTTCATTTAATTGTAAATATGTTATTTATTTAAATATTCAAGTATCGCTATGCTTGTAAAGAATCATGTTCGAGGGTTTCATAATAATCAATTACCTAGGACCTCAAAATTCTCAAGATTGACCACAACCGTGACATCAATTGCATGTAGTTTTCTCATCATAATAGAAAAGTATAAAATAAGTTCTCATACTAATTGCCTAAGCAAAATATTTAGCTTTACCATAGATGGAAGAGTCAAATAGGTTTAATCCCCTCATATTTATGGATTGAATTTCTATTTTTGCAATGTCGATATCCATTTTCACATTTTTTTTATTGTTTTATAACCTCTATATCTGCAATTACTTTTGGTGGATATTTTCGAGAATTCGACTTGAGGATCAACCATAAAAGCGAAGCTCGTGGACCTTAGAATATGAGTTTAATCTCGTAGAACATTTTTTTCCTATCCGTATTAAATATTTAAGTATTTTACAAGCATTATAATAAAACTCGTAAATCCAAGGTGCATGTGGGAGCGTAGATTTGGACTGCACTGTCCAGACGTGTGATGACTCGACACATCTAGGACCCGAATTTAGGTCATGTCGTGATCATGCTTGTTTAATTTTGGGTCGTGGCATTGTTCCATGAGTGTTGTGTAATGATTGATAGAGATTTTGGACGTTTTCTATTTTTTAAATTAAATGTACCTTAACTCGCTTATTTTGGTGATAGGCTGAGGACCAATTCTACAAATTTCCTTGAAAATAATATAAATTAAATTAAATTATTGAATGGTACTTTAATTTTTAGGGGCAGAAAAGTAAAAAGACTTTGAGGTGAGGTGTATGGTACCAAAACATGGGCCTTATCCAATAATAAAACGGTCCATTCCAATGTTGTTTTCAACCTATGTTTCATTTGATAAAGATATCTTTAATAAATAAAACTCCAATAATTCCATCAACTTCAAAAATGCTCATACATTGATAAAAACAATTTGAACACTTCATAAATTTTTTATTGAAAAAATTATTATGATTTGGTATCTATGAAAAAAGTTAATTGTGCTCTTAATCTCTCATTGTATCTTTGTTTTCTCAATGTCTAGAACCCTTAAAATTTCCTCATTTCTTCTATTTATACTCCCCTGCACGATTTTCCAAAAATTGGAGTCTTTCTGGGCTTTTCGCGGCCCAAAACAACATAATCCTAAAAGTTGCGACGCAATGCCTAAGCACTAGGATGCAACCCCTAGGCTCCACTTTGAAGCAGCGCCTAAGCACTATGGTTACAGCGCCTGGTTGCTGCATTGCTGAAAATAAGCAGCCTTGTATCGCCTGGGCGTTGAGTCGCTGTTCCAAATTCTACGTCTATTTTAGTATGTTTGTCATAACATTTTCTCCCGGTATTCGATGAAGGCGATTCAAAATGCATCGAAAGGGTAACTTAAAGGGATATAACTTTTCTAGAAATAGTTGTTTTCTAATTCAAATGTTTACTAGACCAAAAATGGGCATCAATCTCCAAATAAAAATCTAGAACATCCTTGTGCGGTTGAAAATTGACTTGTGAAAATATTTTTGTCATATTTCACTCCTTTTGACTTCTAATTGCCTCCATTTGACCCCTAACATTCTCGAATCTTCATCGTGAGTTTTGGCACAACTTCTGAGTATTTGCACTTTAGTCCCTAAACTTTGGATCTTGCCATTTTTCGCCAATTTTTACTTTTTTTCTCCAATTCTTCATCAAACATAAATTTTTTACCTACAAAGATGCAATATAACATAAATTAGGCAGAAATTTATCGAAAAGATAATAAAATATCATCATTTAGGATCTCGAATAACTGTAGAAACTACACTTATCAGATAACTCTTGAGATTTTTTTGCTTGAATGTATAGACTTCATTTCTAATCTGATAGATTCGAGAAGACGAAAAAAAATTCAATGTGACTTTCTGCACCGTGTCATTCCATGAAACAATGTTCCCCGGAGTAATGAGATTAATTATTCTAGTACGCCTTCCTTTAAAGTATACAAAAATTGGCGCAGTTGAAAAGTATCAGCTTTCTTTTATTTTTTTAGTTTTAGAAAAAGAAATGTCAATCACAATTAATTCACCATTGATAGTGTCTATAGTTAGTAATTATGAACATTGGTGCTTGTCTTGAGTAGGACATTGTTAGGTGAATTATTATGCTCATGTTTGCCTCATTAAATTAAAATTTATTTTTCTCTTTATTTTTTGTCAACTACACATTCTCCAATAAAATAATATTACGCACAAATCTTAAAAAAAAAAAAAAAAATCCTTACTTTTTAACCACACATTCTTCGAAAAATTACTATTTCACTCATTATAATTTGAAAAAATGGGACCCAAATAGGGGCTATAAATGTAAGGAAGAATGTAATTTCTTTTATTTTTGCAATTTTGGAAAATAAAAAAAATTAAAATATAACTCATTCATTGTTGACAATTTCCACGGTTATTGTGATATAAGTCGACGTCGAAATTCATCGAAGTTTTAGTTATTTTAACTATAAATACATATAATTTAGAAAAGATTGTAGATAAGAAATTACTTAAAAAAGTAATTTGACACTTTTAAGCTATTAAGATAAGAAAAAAAAAAAAGCTTTAGCTATGAATGATGACAATAATCTGAGTCAGACAGGCACCGAATAAAACAGTATTTAACACGTACAGATCTTGTACTACGAATTTAGAGAGAGAAAGTAAACAGCAAGTTCACACAATATTGGAGAGGCCCAGATCCCATTAATCATTCTCTCTCTCTCCAAGAACGCCTCCGAATATAGGAAATAGGATTCTCAGATTTTTTTGGGCCTTATAAAGACTAAAGAGCATTGCGCAAAAAGAGATCTTTTTCTTTTTTCGATTTTCAAGAATTGTGCATATGCATGTCTATACACAGTAGAATTGCATGAAGCGGGCAATCCTTTTTCAATCTGGATAAAGTGGATTCTGGATATTGATAAGATAATCAATCAGGTTTGTCTTTTGACAACTTTTTTTTTTTTTCAGTTCAAGCTGAATTTTACGAATTTTGAACATGGATTGATGATTTTTTGGGAAGTGTTTATCTTTGACTTTAGGAATTTTGTTCGTCGTTTATAGGCTGGTTAATCTAATCAATGTTTAGATTGAAAAATAAATGAGATATTATTGGCACGTTCAGAATTTTTTCTTAATATTAATTTTGGTATTTGGTGACCCTTAATTGTATTCCAACTTGATTATATGAAAAAGTTTGATTATTCAATGAGTGGCGTTATTATAATTTTCTTTGAACTTTTGGGTTAAAGTGAGAGTATATTCTGACTCCGATACATTTATTTTGACAGCTTCCTGCTGCGAATTTAGTGAAATTCAAGGCACTTTGAGCTTTGATTCTCTTCTATATAAAATTGGGTGGGTGAATTTCGAGCCACTGCAATCTTTAGAGAAGTCCTGGATTGAAAATGAGAACTGTTATTCATTCTGTAAGACAATTTAGATCAGCTTTTCGGTATAGATGGAACTATACCTATGATGGATTTCCGAAAAGACGAGATTATTGGTGCAATACAAATTTCCAGTCAGTATACAGCCTATCAAGAAAATTAGATGTTTGTGAATGTAGACATCCATCACAGATGATCTCCAGAGTCATGTTTACCAACGCAGTTAATGTTTCTCATCAAGGTTGTGCATTTTTATGAAGGTTCAAGCTTATCAGTTTAAGCCTATTCTTCTGATATATGTTTCTCATATTTCTTGGTTTTCTGTTGATTGTTTCAATCTCAGAACTAAATCAATCTGGACCTCTTGTGGAATATGAACGTAGGATAAGTGCTGGTGAACTTTTGGATGGTGATACTAACCAGGTATGATGATTATTTTAGTCCTGTTTGATTGTATTATATATATTCTTTCTTAACTTGGCAGAACTTATGATTGTGTTGGAATAAGCAATGATGATTATTTTAGTTTTGTGTGATGGAATTGATCTTCTTTCTTAGTTTGGTAGAAATTATGAATTCGTTGGATTACAAGATGAAAATTTAAGCTTAAATAAGAATAAATGCAAGCACTAATGACCTTATTCCGAGGTTGTACACAATACTTACAAATGAGTTTCTATTCGGGAACGAAATTATTGTATCCCGCTAAAATTGACGGGAAAATATTGTTGGCACATTTAATAAAATGAATTGAATATTTGAGCAACATTCAACTAACTCTATATTAGGGGTAACTATAGATTTTGGATATAATCTACTTTCAGAGATTAGGCAAATTGATATCTGTTTGATGAAATATTTTTGGCTATCTTGTTTTCTATCATTTTTTTGACCTTCTGAGGATGTTCTGATAATGACTTTGCAGTTAGGCTCCTTAACAGAGCTTCAAAGGCTCTACGACGAGCTCGTTGAAAAGGCTGATGCTTGCAGGTTGGATCGATATGCCACTTCTGAAAAAGCTGGAAGGTAAATATTAATCACCGATTCATTTCTGGGGGCATCATGAATCTCCGTTGATCATCAAGAGTTTTCCCTGTTCTCATCAATGGCTAGCTTTATGTCTTCCACTTCTAATTTATTTAAAATATGACATCTTTATGTTTTCTTCTGTCGATTTTCAGGAGTAGATGGTTGTGGTCCCGTTTCATACCCCAAACTTCATATGCACCTGTGAAAGGACTTTATCTTTATGGTGGAGTGGGCACAGGCAAGACTATGTTGATGGACCTGTTTTTTGAACAATTGTAAGCATCAGATTTATCCAATCTTGAAAATGTTATTTTGGACTTAGCATAGCTGTGTGCATTGATCCCAATTCAATAGATTTTAAAAAATTTTGCAATTAAAATTCTCTGTCTTCCCAGGCCTTGCAACTGGAGGAAAAAGAGGATCCATTTTCATGACTTTATGTTGGATGTCCACAGCCGTTTGCAAGTATAAATGCTATTCTGTTTCCTCTTATTGCAAATTTTCAGTAAATTCATCAGGATGAAATGATGTTCTTGAACATGCATACTCTACCAGGCTTTACATTAGGGCTATTAGAAAATTTCTTCTGCATTAGAAGAAGTGTTTAGCACTTACATCAGAGACCTCCAATACCATATTGCCTTTCTTTCTTGCTCTCTTTACTCTGAAATATGCAATTTGCTCCAGTACTAATATAAAACTTCCAAATTGTTGTTGGAATGTGATATTATTGCAGAAGCACAAGGGCGTGGCAGATCCTCTAGAAGTTGTCGCTGGAGAGATATCCGATGAATCTCTCTTGTTATGTCTTGATGAATTCATGGTATGTCAGGGTTGGAACAGTTCCTAAATTCTCTTGCCTTTCTCATTTGAGTGCATTTTATCTTTCTGGTCTGACATTTTCATATGCTTCAAGATAACCTTTAGATGCTCCTAATAAAAGATATAGCAGCAGGGGTGCCCAGTTTTAGATTGGATATCGTACCAACGTTCTAATTAATTTCTTGTTTGCTGTTATTTTTCCATTCTCGTCTTCTTTTTTCTCGGTCAATTAAAATCCACGATTGGTTTTGTTGTCTTATTAGGTGACCGACGTTGCTGACGCCTTGATCCTAAATCGTTTATTTGGACATTTATTCAGCAATGGAGCTGTAGGTTATTTTGGCATGCCTATTTTGCATTCTAGTCTGCCTATATATTTATTTAGGTTTGTTAAGTGGCATAGTAACTGAGGGTTCTTTTACTTGGAAAATTGGATAGATTCTCGTTTCTACTTCAAATCGAGCTCCAGATAAACTTTATGAAGGGGGGCTGCAGAGAGATCTTTTTCTACCATTCATTGCATCTCTGAAGGTATGTGAAAGCCTGTAATTTCAGAGCAATTAGCAACAATAATGACATGTCTGATAAGGTAGTGGTTAGAAACATTGATGACATGTTTGATAAGGTTGATTAGACATTACTCGACAGTATGAAACGAGAAAAAGAAATTAAACTCATTCCTATTGTACTGTCCAATACTGTCTTTACTGCTTAACATACCACTCCAAAGGTGTGTAGAGCTCAAAGGAGAAAGTTTTCTCATTAAGTGGCTATGGGAAGATAAGACTTCATTTGTTTTTAGTTCACACACTAGCCACTGACATACTGTCATCTACTCTGAACTTATATTATGACTCCTCGTTGTTTCAGTCTGAATTTGGTCGCATTGCATTTTGTCAACACGTGATGGAAAAATTGCCTATAATCCACATGTTTCTCCCAAGAAATCTTTTGCATTTTTGCACTTCATTGACCTAGTTAATAATTATAATCTTACTTTCATGTAGGAAAGATGTGTTGTTCATGAAATTGGTTCGGCTGTGGACTATCGGAAAATGACTTCGGTGCAGTTTTCAAATCCCAGTGTTTTGAGTTGGAAATAGACTTCCTCTTTATATAGAGTACATTTCTATTTTATTTACCATTCACATAAATTTATAAGATTTTCAACTGATTTTAGGCACAGCAAGGTTTCTACTTTGTTGGCGAAAACTTATCCAGCCTTCTTAAGGAAAAATTTCAAGAATTAGTTGGGGAACACAGAGCTGTTCAGCAAGAGGTGGAAGTCATCATGGGAAGGAAATTGCTGGTATATTCTTAATTTGCTTTTGTTCTAATGAAGTGCATACATATCTCTATACTTAGATTGACTATTTTATTTCTTGACATGTGAATTCTTTTACTTCTTAGGTTCCGCTGGGTGCCAATGGATGTGCATATTTCCCTTTCGAGGAACTATGTGACAGGCCTCTTGGAGCAGCAGACTATTTTGGTCTCTTCAGTAAGTCATTTCTTGCTTTGTGCTTCTCCATGTCTTCTATATTATACAAATTTAATTAGCTATTGTCTGACCATAGATTTGAATATTTCGAATAAGGCTTAAAGGCATCGGGTTCAATTGCACTCTCTCCAGCTATGGCTAGTACTTTAAATTACTTTGATTGTATACGAGGACCAAGCTATTTTGATATGTTCGCGAAGAAAAGAGGAAAAATGGATAATGTTAGACAGTACTAAAGAAGAAAAAGAAAAAGCTAAAATCATGTTTATTATCCTCCAATTCTATCCAACATTGCATACCAAATACGCTCTTTGTGTGCTTATTTTCCTTTTTCAGTCAAGACCTTTTGGCTGCTATCTCGAGTAAGCTGATCTGTGTTTTCTCAATACTGTCATCTTGGCCTAGAACAATAATTAACTTGTACAAGTATTTACATATTGGTTTATAATTTGCCAAGATGCATTTTTGATTTTTAGTGTGAGATTTTTACCAGTTTAGTTTTTTTTTTTTTTTTGCCAGAAAAATTTCATACTCTGGCTTTGGAAGGTGTGCCAATTTTCGGGCTCCATAATCGGGCTGTAGCATACCGGTTTGTCACTTTGGTCGATGTTAGTCCTTAATTACTTCTAGAGTATTTTTCTAGTTTGACAAGTTGATCTGATACACTTTTGGGATTCGGGATTCAAAAAATTTTCCCTAGTATTCATGTGTCATGGATGGAAGTGCTCCATTGT